AATCTTCTTCGATTCTGAAACGTGTGCGGTCGACAATGGGATCCTCCCCCAACTCCGCCCCTCCCAAGCACACACACTCAAATGATTGTGACAGGTCAAAGAAATAGTGTCACATCTGATTCAGGCAGTCCACGGCTGTATTATTTCATTCAAATATTCCCTCCAACCCGGAAATTCATTTCTACACGAGTTTTTCACACAGAAGCAACCTTTGGAACTAGGAGATATTTTAACTTGGGTGAATTTTTATTTTTGTTTTCAGTAAAAAAAAATAATAATAAAAAAAATAATTCACATTCAAATTCATCATTTCCAGGAAGAAATCACTCTCCCTCACACAGTCGCCCGGCTTTCGGCACAGCATTTCATGACAAATGTTTCTCAGGAGACTAGAGCAAAATCCCTAGCGAGGGACTGAGTAATAAATCCTGGTAATTGATTTCGAAATGCTTCATTTGGGAGACGGGGAGAGGGGGGACTCGTCTACAGCCACGAAAAAGCGAAAGTGCGAGCTGTGAGTTCAATTGCTAGTGGGGGTGGGGTGCTTTGCAACAGTCAGACCTACTCAGCTGTTCAACACGTGTGTCGTGTGTATATTTGTTTCATACACATTAAGTCGTTTCTGCTGCAGCGCGCGCGTGGGTGATGGATGTGCACTTGGTTGGGTTATAATGTGTCCAGTTAGGAAATACACACGGTCAATGTACAGAACTAAAACCTGATCCCAGGCGTCCACTTCATCCCTGGGAGAAACAGGCACCCAGCCAGTGATGGGAGAGCGCGGTGGATCAGCCAAGTCGCCCGGGGCCAGACAGACGTAAACAGTCTTAGCTGGAGGAGAGCGCACCTGCACCTTCAGGAGTCTTCGGGATGGTGCCTGACTTCTGCACCGCCTGCCAGGTCACTCGGAGAAGCTGGCTGACCGAGCCTTCCCTTTCGGAAGAGCTGTCCTCTCCCTTACCCCCTCGCCCTGGCTCGCTGCCTCGGGGCAGCCTCGGAGGCGCGCCAGCTGCACTCCTCCAACTCGACTCCACCCGAGCCTGACAGCTGGGCGGTCCCGCCTGACCCGCGGGCGGCCGGCTGCACCCTGGGGCAGACGCTCGCCGGGGCCACCAGCGCTGCGGCTACATTCTGGGTGGGCAGGTCCCGGAGGCCCCCGGGCCCGGGCGGGCCAGGCCGAGCAGTTTCCATTGTGCGGGCGTGCGAGTGGCCGGGGAGCGCGCGCGCGCGCACACGCACTCACACACCCTCCCTCGCACACGCGGAACCGGCTGGGCCAGGGGAGGGAGGAGGAGGGTGACGTAGCGTCCCATGGCGTCACATTGACGTCTCGCATTCCAGGCACTCTATGGAGAGGCCGCTAGGGCTCCTGTGGCATAAATGACGTGCCGAGAGAGCGAGCGAGCGCGCAGCCAGGAGAGCGGAGTCTCCTGCCTCCCGCCCCCCACCCCTCCAGCTCCCGCTCCTCCTCCGCTCCCCATACACACACGCGCTCCCACCCGCTCTCTCACTCGCACACACAGACACACGCGCGCACACACGCTCCGCACACACACGCACAGCCCTCTCGCCCGGCGCGCTCGCCGGTGCAGCGCGGCGCCCTAGCCGGACACCCCTCCCGGGCTCTTTGCAACGCCGACAGCGCCTGCGGTGGCGGTGGGGGTGCGAACGGCAGCGGCATCCTCCCCATTGGTCGCGGCCGGAGCCAGGACGCCCGCGGAACCCCTCGGGCGCGCTCTCCCATGAGTCGGGATCGCAGCATCTCTCGCCAGCCGCTCACCGCCTCCGGGAGCCGCGGGGCTCCAACACGGCAGCCCTTCCGGGACAGCAGCCGCGACCCTCGTCCGTGCAGATTTGGGGGCAGCTCTCTAGAAACTCGCTCCAAAGACGGAATCGCCACAGCACTCAAGTACGTATGACATTCGCCTGGTTAATAGGGGCACTTGCTAAAAAAAAAAAAAAAAAAAAAGTTGGCGCGCGCAGGGAAGCGACGCTCCTGAAATGGACAAGTTGGAGTGTGGGGTTTTCGCCCCGTCACCTCGCAGCTCCGGGTTTGCCGGCCTGGGGGCAGGTGGGTTGCGATGGGAAACTTTTTCCCGGAGCTGGCCCGTGGGGCTCCCGGGAGCTCGCGGGGTTGCTCTCCCCACGGGAGAGGCGAAAGGCCCCTAACAAAGAGGAGGACGGGGATGTGGCCGCAGGGCCCCGGCGCTGTAAGTCAGGGTATTTCGGCTCCAGTTGTCATGGTAATGATGCGCTCGGCGGCGGCGGCGGCGGCGGCGGCAGGCAGTTGCAGCTCGCTTGATGAACGGCGGTCATTTTCCTACCTTAAAGTAGGCTGGAGAACCGGGGCGCTCTGGTGGGTCCGAGTTCATGGACCCAGGGGTGTCTCCGGAGCTGCGGCGCTGGGAGTGAGGTTAGGAGCGAAGGGCCGGGGGCAGCAGCGGCCGGAGTTTGCCGAGGCGCTCGCAGGATCCCAGGGCAGAAGGGCGTAATTGTAGGACTGGGGCTCATGGTATTGAAATAAGCCCGGGGCTCTGCCAGGCACGTCCGCCGCGAGCCCTGGCCGTGCCCGTCTACACTTTGCTCTCCCGAGGTCATCGGGAGTAATTGCCGGCTCGGGTGCCCCGACACGCGTGGGGCCGTGTCCCTCTCCGGGTGCGTCGGCTCGGTGCGGGAACGGCAGGTTTTCCTCCCGATGGCAGCGCTCGGCGCCTGGAGCACTTGCTCCGACTGGTTGGTTGACTCAGTGGAAATGAAAGTTCTCGTGGTGAGAGAGGACCGTGGGCACGCGAGCGCGTTTGTTCCTTAGTCCCTCGAAGGCTCTTGGAGCTTGTTCTTTCTGCCTGCAGAGCAGAGCTCCGGAGGGAAGAGCCGCAAGGAGTTAGGGCACCACGAGACGGCCCGGCTGTTCTCCCAGCGCCTTGGGGTGCCGTTCAGTTCCTTCACGGCCAACCCAACCCTTGATCTCCCCTCTCCCCACGACGGAGAAATATTTCAAAGAACCCACTTGGGGACAGTCCAAGCTGCCGCACACGGCTGCTGGGTCCAATGAATGAAGTTGGAGTGTATTCGAGTTAGGGACCAGATGCGCGAAGGGAGAACATCCAAGACTCCTTGGGCCACCCCCGCGCCCACCGAGCCCCTGTTCCCCGACTGTGCGCTCGCGGAAATTCTCCCCGCGGTCGGGCTCCGTGTCCCTCGGTCTTTTCGGAGAATCTCTGTCTTTCCCTTTCGGTCGGTCGCTCCCCCACTCCTCCAGCCCCCGCCCCACCTCTGTCCCCGCCCCCCAGGGCTGGAAACTCCGCGGAGGAGCCGGGCCACAATGGTGCATTTCAGGGTTTCCTCCACACGCTGCACCACCGCGAGGGGAACACGGGGGTGTTCCTTTCGTCTGCCCGCCAGAAAGAAAGGGGCTTTGACCGAGCTAGTTAGTTCTTCGTAATTTACAACCTCGAGGCTCCGTGCGCGCGGCCCCGGCGGCCGCGGAACGTGTTTCCAGGCGCGGAGCCTTTGCCTAGGTAACCGGCCGTGTGGGGGGCGGAGAGAGCCGGCAGGCGCTGGGCTCAGCAGTGGGAAGGCGGTGCGCTCTCTGCAGCGCACGGTGGGCGCTGGACAAGAACCCATTCCTTGGGGAGCCGCGACCTCCGAATCAGAGGCCTCTCCTCCGAGAAAGTCTCCACTTGAAAGCCCCCGCTAAGGGAAGGGGCGTGGGAGCCCCTTCCTGGCGGAGGGACGGGGGCGGGGGTTCCTGGAGACCCACAGTCAAGGTGTCGGAGGGCGGGGAGCGCGCGCCGCGGCCGTGGCGAAGTTCAAGCTTTCAGGCCCGGGAGGAAAAGCTTTCTGTCCAAGCAGCGGGGTCTGGGGTTGGGGTCACAAGGGAACCCCATTTCCTGACTGTCGAGAGGGTGGAGGCGGCGCCTGCGGGACCTGGGGGCTCCAGGCCCCACGCTTTGTTCCTGGGGGCGCAAGGGGCCGCGGGAACGAAACTTACCGGGCCCCAGCGGCCCGCACACCCCGAGGTGTTGGGGTTTTCGCCTCCACGTTCCGACTCCTCCAGCTGTGAGTCGGTCCGGGCAAAGGGGGCGCTGCATGCTGGAGTTCGGGGCCACGGGAGCCGTGCCCGCGGCCGGCGGAGTGTCGCCTCCCGCTGCAAAGTTTCTGTGCGGCGGTGGGAAGCCACGCTCGGCCCAGAGCCGCGCTTTGCCGGCTCGGAAACGAGCCCCCTGTGGGCTGCGCGGTGAATGCGAGCTCGAGACGGCCCACCGTCCCGGCTGCGGCCGGCGGGGTACGGGGGGCCTCCCTGAGCCCGCCCTACCAGCCGTGTAGCCGCGAGTGCCCTAAGCGTCGTCGCCTTGTTTCCCGATCCGTCCTGTTTCCACTGGGCCCTTTTGTTTGCTTGACCCCTGGACCCCGAAAGTCGTGGCTAATGGAAGCAAAGCCCCATTAGCATTTAGAATGAAAAGCTCAGATTTTCTTAATTCCTCGGAGCATTCATGCATTCGTTCCGGCTTGTGTGCATTTCCTACGCAACGTGTACAATTTGTATTTGAGGGGTGGGGGCGGGCGGAGTTGGTAAATGGCTGTTTTCCGCTCGTGCACACCCACTGACCCCCGAATTCTGGCGGAACTCGTTCCTCCCTTTCTTCGTGTTCTCCCTTTCTTCGGCGTTCCTGTCTTTGCGAGCTTTGAACCAAATGCGGGGCCACAGTATCAATTTCTGGGCGTCTGTTGGCTGCCCATGTTGTTAGCTAAGGCCCGTGTGCCATAGAACGGAGTGAAGGCGGTGCGTGCAGACCCCCTCCTGAGCCTCCCTCTCGGCAGTGTGGTACCAGTTTGTCACCGAGGGTCGCAGGTCCCCTCACGCGGTGCTTCCTTACCTGCTTAACTGTTTGGAATTAATGTGGCATTCCCAGAGGCTCGCGCACACCCCGGGGCTTCGGTGGCCTAACCTGGCCTCACTGTGACCTCTGCCACTTTCCCTGGTGCCCGCAGAGCCCACTGTGAAAGAGAGCAGCCCGGCGAGCCCGGGTCCTGAGCTTGGACCCTCCGTGGAACGGGGCAGTGTCGCCGCTGCTTCGCCTCAGCAAACATCCCCACCTCCATTACCATCAGCATCTGCTGGAAAGACCCACAGCCCCACCATTCAGCGCGCAAGATACCCTCCAGGTAGGTCGCCTCCTGGGCTGGGAGAGGGGGGCTGGGCAGCCAGACACCCAGCAGCCGGGCTGGTCAGTTTGTTGGCCTCCAGGACAGTGACCAAGCTTTCACGGAACAGGTGGCTTTCTGGCACGAGGCTCCTCTGTAAGCAACCCTGTTGCTGCCACCGAATGGAGCAGCCAACTAAATTAAACGCTGCATTTCTCAACATTATTTTTTTTCTGAGAAAAATACAAATAGACTGATAGATGAGGGTCCTATTTTATACATTTCACTGTTTCCACTTTTGCCATCTGTCTGATGTCTTTGATGCCTTTAAGAGCTGTGGAGTCGCTTAGGGCAATACAGAACATTGTTGTTTGTTTAAAAAAAAAAAAAAAAAAAAACGCCCTAATCGTTTGGGTGCAGGGGCAATTTGGATCATTGAAGTTTAGAGGAAAAGAAAAAGCATTTGAACTGATCACCAACAGGTCTATGTGAGTTTGGCAGAAAGAAAAGGTTGCAGGTTTAGTTGACAGCACTTCTTCAGACATTTATTAAAGGGCTACAATAGGTGCCAGGCCTGTGTAGGCATCAGAGACACAGGGAATAGAGGACCGTTGCAGCTGGCTCATTTTCTAGCTGGGCCTCAGAAAGACACAAAGAGGAGCACAGGTAGGGATTGGCAGAAAGGGCTAACAGATCCTAGAAGTGCCAAACCGATGGAAGACAGCCAGCCATCATTCCATCCCAGGCAAGAGATGTCATCCTTTAACCTCAAACAGTGTCTTTTTAAGGCCCTGCTCATTACTGCTTCTCCCAACAGGCCCTCATCACCTTTTTTCAAGTCAAGATTTCATCCCATACACTCATGACTCAATCAGATTTGGAAATGTGGGTAAGAGAAAGATGTCAAAGGAAACGTGAAGTCACTGCCCTGTTAGTCACACCTTCTGCATCACAGGCTCCAAAGAGACGTTAGCACCTGGTTTTCCTTTGTCTCAGAAAAACCAACCACCAGAAACTGCCCATGTTACCACTTAGATTTTAGCCACAAAGGAAAGAAAATAGATAAAGCATCCATTGGATCCAGTCATTCGCAGGACCTTCTCACCAAGATCACCCTGTCTCGACAACAGTAAACACGCTGGGTACCAGTTGCTTCTGTGGGCTCTACGGAGAAACCAAACCTGTTCAGAAATGATTTTCTTCTGTTCCCCTGGAACAGAACCACTAGTTCTTCTCTTGTAAGAAAACGCCTAGAATAACTCACCTGTCATGATAGCTGTAAACAGTTGTCATAAACGGCCACTGGTACCTTTTATTACTTAGAGTTAGGGAGAAAGTATACATATCTTTACCTCAGAGAGGAGCTTTACTGGGCATTTTGTTGCCCTGCTCATCTTTTTCTTTGCAGATGGGGCAGACTCTCCCAGCCCATTTTCTGGGCCCACTTGCCCACCTCAGCACACTAGTTGGCTGAAGTCAGCAAGGAGAGGAGGTCCAATGTGTGCAGGCTGGAAGTCTTGTTAGGAAAGGAGGAGTGGGCACGGGGTGGGAGAAATCCGCCACAGTGTACCTAGGCAGTCTCTGCTGGCACTCATAAAATGTTATATTGTGGTCTCTCTTGGCCTGTAAGCACTACATACAGTGCTTTTTTTTTTTTAACTGACGCAAAGGTTTACAAATCAATGTGTGTGGCTTGGGGGACCAGTGGCCTTTTTCTCCAAAAATCAACACTAGCTTTCTCTTGGTCCTCAGTTTGTGGCTGAGGAGGCCACTCCAGTCACCTTGTAGGTCTCCAAGTCACTTTTTAAAAATCAATCAATCACTCAATCTCTAGGCTTATGAGGGAGAACATCAAATTTCCCAAGACCAGGGCAAGGTCAGAGAAGGGGCGGCAGCAGGAGGGGAGGGTGTCACTTCCTCTAGTTCCTAAATGAGCGGGCAGTGGAGGCAGCGCTATCAGGTAGCTACCGGTTCGGGTTCGTTTCTGAGCTTCCGTTCTCCTGTCCCTGCAGATATGCCCTGCGTCCAAGCCCAGTATAGCCCTTCACCTCCAGGTTCCAGTTATGCGGCGCAGCCCTACGGCTCGGAATACAGCACGGAGATCATGAACCCGGACTACGCCAAGCTGACCATGGACCTCGGCAGCACCGAGATCGCGGCCACTGCCACCACGTCCCTGCCCAGCTTCAGTACCTTCATGGAGGGCTACTCGAGCAGCTACGAACTGAAGCCCTCCTGCCTGTACCAAATGCAGCCGGCTGGGCCGCGGCCCCTGATCAAGATGGAGGAGGGCCGGGCGCACGGCTACCACCATCACCACCACCACCACCACCACCACCACCACCACCACCAGCCGCAGCCGCAGCAGCAGCAGCCGTCCATTCCGCCCCCATCCGGCCCGGAGGCCGAGGTGCTGCCGAGCACCTCCATGTACTTCAAGCAGTCCCCGCCATCCACCCCCAGCACGCCGGGCTTCCCTCCACAGACGGGGGCGCTGTGGGACGACGCGCTACCGCCGGCGCAGGGCTGCATCGCGCCGGGGCCACTGCTCGACCCGCCCATGAAGGCGGTGCCTGCGGTCGCCGGGGCGCGCTTCCCGCTCTTCCCCTTCAAACCCTCGCCGCCGCACCCGCCCGCGC